TTTTGGGCGGGGGGGAGGGGAAAGAGGGGGGGATGAACAAAGAATTATGAAGAAGCCAAGCCATAAATTTTACATAATAGAGAACACTTAAATAGGTCATCTAACCCATCCTCCAATTTACGCCAGCTGATTTTTACAACATGCTTCTGTATTTTGAAAAACATTCTACAGAAATCACAATGACAGGCTAACATTAATAAAGCACAAGTATATGTTATGGCAGAGGTAGCAACACATGCTGCTATGTGCCTGAATGTTCAATCAGCACTTCAGGAAGTAGAAGCAGTTTCTGAGGACAGGATACGTAACAGAATACATCTGTAACTGGAAGGTTTTGATTGTTCAACAGTATGCTGGAATTTTCACACTGATCATCTTTTATAACGATTGTTTCAAGGTATTCAATTGTCTAAAAAAAAAAAAAAATCTATGTGGTGGGAAACCAGACTATTTAAAACCTATTCTATTTTTAATATACCTCCATTTCTCATAATTCTAGATTCTTCTTAATATACTTAAGGGAGAACTAGTGCCACACTGTTCAGTTTATGTAGTAGCAGGGAATCATATTTGCTTCAACTAGACTCAGAAAAATTCAGAAAGACACATAATGCTCAGTATACTGTTGCTGCACCAGCCCTAGTTACTTTTTTACGTACCAGATCTCTACGTAAGAAATATTAAATTACTGTGTATTAAATAATACATCATTAATAAAAGTATATGCTCATCAAATACTTTTCATCAATCGATCTGATGGTATTTGCGCATAGGAAGTCTCTGTTACACCTACTTTACAGCTGCCAGTACTGAGAGAGGAAGTAACCCCTTTGTTCAGAGGCAGAGATGGGAATGACAAGGAGGTACCGATCTACCTGTGCAGCCATATTACTTGGAAGGAACGGCCAGTGCTATGTTAAAACTTATTGGCACTACCTCTCTCTCTGGTTTTCCATTTGGAACAAGATGATTGCTACTAACATATTGTGGAGGAAACGCACTTTGAGAAAACATGCAGGGAAGCAAGTCTGAACAAAAAGCAGTCTGGGGAATTATTAAAACACAGAATGAAACAGAATTACACTTGAATCAGGATTAACCTGTTTCTTACAGTAAGAAATTGATTTGATGCAAAACAGCAAAATGAGAGTTAATGCCATCTCTTATATATGAGACAAGCCCTCAGCTGCAGGTAAAACCAGCAGAAGTTACTAGTTAGCTTTCCTCTAAGACACAAGAAGTTTAGCAAAACTTTTAAGCCTTTAATCCAATTCAGACCCAACCAATTCTTCCAGTGAACAAATACAATCAAGATCACTGAGTGGGAAAAGAATATATGGGAAACGCCCATACCATCAGACAATCTCTTTGAGACATGTTTCAAAGTCAGTCCTCCCCGCTACACCTCTCAACGTGGCATAAACCCCACACAATCCAACATGGTCAGAGGGTTTTGTCTATGCAGATACATCTGGCAGACTAACAGCATATGAATTTTTTTATAGGTTTGTGAAGTATGTATGAAGACCGTGTCAAATTCCAGGTGTTTAAAAGTAATTTACTTAAGTTTACTGAAGTTTATTAAGCATAGTGTTGAATAAAGTTTCACATCTAGTCTTTGATATTCACATATGGGTTACAAAGTCTAACTTAAATTAACAAAAGTTTATTTTAGAACACACTTGAAGGTAACAAGATTAAATTAAAGGATTTATTTTTTAGGTTAGTCTCCTGTGAAGTTACATTAGCAAGGCCAAATTTATTCCACAACTACCCTGCAATTCTCATTCACGGTACGTATCCAGCATAGAGCAAATAAAATAAAGGGGATGAACCAGGCAAAAACTTGTAGGTCTTAAAGAAAGGCTCTAGTATTCAGGTCCGTACTTTTCATACAAAGACTCTTGGCTTGTAAGCTTTAAATCCTTGATAGCTTGGTTCCCATAAGGTCTATGTGCAGGAATGAATCAAGTATCTTAGAGAAAGGGAGGAAGGGGAGGTAGGAGAAATTACAGAGAGAATACCTTTCTTCTCGTATCCTTCTCACTCGCTCAGCTCGTTCTAGTTTCTTTTGTTCTTCATATGCTTTTTGTTCTGTAGTGTCTCTTTGGATGCGCTCATTTAAGGCATCAAAATCTTTTGCTATGATGTGTAGAAGCCAATATAAACCCTTTTTTATTGATTTATCAATTTTTTTCCCACAGCCCATGATAGCTGAGCAAGGTTCCTGTAAATATAAGGAGAAGGAGGGGAAAATTACTTGCAGTTCAGATCACATTCCTTGACTGAAAACAAGAAATCAGGCAAACAATTACTGTTTACTGTGAAGCTTGCAAAACACTGAGAAGTATGGGAAATAAATTTGCATTTAGGTATTCTATAAATTTAGGTGCTTTTTTTGCCAAGTTACAACTCACATTAGATCTACCAAATTCCATTATTTCCAGTCCCATTTCAAAAATACTAGAATACTGCACAGAAAATCATGTTTGCATGTCTATTTCTAGACATATATATACATCTGTAAGGTATAGACACAGCTGTTACATATACACCTGCTATATGTATATGTATATTTACACATCTGTTTCTATACACATCCATATCTATGCATCTATATAGAAATATAATTTATCAACCCCAAATATGTATGTTGTGTTTTGCTGCTTGTTTATAAACAGTCCATGTTATATTTATCTAGTAAAGTGGAAAAAATGAGATGCAAGAGAATCAACTTAGCTTCAGTTCATGAAAGAAATGTTCGACTTGTTCATAAGCACCTAGGGGATAAATAAAATCCAGTGTGAATTTGTCAGAAAAACTGTCAAGCCAATTCAATTTTTTAGATCAGAACAGGTATTGTGGATAGGGGTGAAGCAAAATATTATGCATCTTGGTTGGAGTAAAACTTTTGTGATGATATTCTCACCAGCAAGCAAAAGAAACATGATCTAGGCAAATCTATTGAAAGATGGGTGCAAACCCCATTGCTAAATTAGTTTGGAACACTATCTAGCTTGAATGCAACAATTCAAGGAAGTGGATTGACTGGAAGGAATCAAGGGGAGCAAATTGAGAAAAGGCAAAATTGGTTATGAGAACACATCTGGTAAGAAAACATTGAAGGAACAGGAGTGGTTCTCTTGAGATGAAAAAGCTTCAAGGAGATATGATAATAGCCTTCAAAAACATAAGGCATAACTCTGCAAATAGGAAAAGAATTTGCTCTTCATGTTCATTGTCAAGAGGACAAGCATAATGGGCTTTAACTGGAACAAAAGAGATATGGCTTGATTCTAGTTTAGAACATGGAAAAGGACTAGATGACCTCTCAAGATTTCTTCAGAACTATTTTCCAGAATGTTTTGAAGCACTGTATGGGTCTTTAAAACTGTTCTCTGAATAATAATTGAATAGATCCAGCTATGTATTTGACATGAAGAAATGATATTTCACACTGATTGTGGTCAGGATTTGTGTTCATGAATGAAGGAAGATTAAAAAAGACTAACTCTCCAATGTCAACATCTAAAAAATTCTCTGTGTAACCTCTTCATTTGACAAGCATTTAAATGGCACCAGAGTCAGATACGGTATGTACAATTTACAACAGAAAAAAATAATTCTGACCTGTTATGTGCCCCCCAGAGTGCCAAACCCACTTTGCGTTTTAATACATTCCTACTTTGTCTAAGTTAAGGTTCAAATCTGAGTGTTGGTCACTATGGAACACTACAATACTTGCTAGCAGAACCTAATCAGGGAGAAGATGTATAGGCAATAACACTTTGTTTCTCTGAGAAAACTAAGATAAAACAATAGACAGCACTGGGGCAATTTTCTTCTCAGTTTGCACCAAGATTATTCTTGCTGTAGTTCAGTTATAAAATACAGAAATTTAGAAATACAGAATATACAGACATATTAGAAAAAGAGGAAGGTCATTCTCACTGACACTGTGTGACAGCGAGACAAATGACTCCTTCCATTTGCTTTAATATTTTGTGGTGAAATTTAAAGATCCAGAAGAAAACTAATTAAAAGAATAAGAAGAAACAAGTGGTTTTTTGGTCCGTGCCTAATTTTATTTAAATCTTGTTTCACAACGCCCCAGTTTAAATTCACCCCATGAGTCATCATATTGAAATAACTTGGGACCATGTTTACCTTTAATGAGCCCAGGAAAGAAGCTGCCCATTTGAGTATGTAAGACTCTCAGCTGCTTTCAGCTAATATGACTTAAGAGTATGTGATCTAGTTTCTTTGTTGATTACACCCAAGATATAAATGGAGAACAAGAACAGCATTTTACTGGAACATGTCATAAATTGAGTAATTCTAAACTACAGGAAAAATACACTAGAATCTTTCAAGTCTTTTATATTGATAATGCTTTGCAAGAAAATATTTTTGTCACAGACATCCCTTGGGAAAAAAAGGGCGAACACGCAGGTTTTATTTTTATGATTGTTACGTATGCACAGTGCAAAGTCCACTGACTGAAGAAAAGCACTCAAAGAGTCATGATGTAATGAACATAGCTATGCCCTGCTATAACTCAACTTTCTAGAGAAAATAATAGCAATATGTATTACCCTATGAATTTTGTACCTCTCCCTAGGGAATTAAAAGTCTTTTTTAAATTTTAAAACCCAAATACCAGCTGGAATGGGTTTGTAAAACTGCCTTCTAATTTTCGTCAATAACAGCATAACTCTTATTATCTTTTAAAATGTTTCTTATTGCAATTAGAAAAAGATTATAAAAGTAAAGCCCACAAATAGTTAACTAACAAACTGGTTGATTAAAACAAAGGCGTAAAGAAAACTTCAGGGACTACTGATTTGGATAAATTATCTGAAATATTGTCCAATATTAAGTAGCTTTCATACAGATTTCTGGTTTTGGCTCCCCCCCTTTTTTTCTGGTGTTTTTTTTTTTTTTTTTAAACGTGACTACATCTGAAATGAGTTATTTTAGGACAAATATTAACTAGCAACTAGCTTTAACAGTGTTCTTTAATGACTACTGTGCTGGGAATTAGATGCCCTAGGAATTAGATTAAGTTCTTACTGTTTGCCAGATGGTGACTCAGACTAAATGATGGTTTTAGCTACAACAGAAATGAGAAAAACATCGTATCCGAACAGTGATCCTTCCTGAACATCAACGTAGGTAAATTCCATTTCCTGCTTCTTTTTAAAAAGGTGGAATGCTAAACTTGCTGTCCAATTAAACAAGTTTTAAACCACATCAGTAACTAATTATTTTTACACGATTTCAGAATGGAGCAGCAGGTACACTTTGAGGATCCTTGTTACAAAGATTTCTTCAACAGATCCAGAAGCAGAATGTCAAGGTGAACAGTAGAATTGCTTGCAGAACAGATATATGTACTGTATCTTTGCCAGGATTGCAGGGATTTAGTTTCAGTTTTATGCTATGTGGCACAATCTCCTACCTTATTGCAAGCTTTACGTATATATTAGAAAATGAAGCATCTTAAAATATACTTACAATCTGACATAGACATTTATGTTCATTGACAAGCTTTTCCAGAGATAAGGACTCAATTACATCTGCTTCTGACAGAGCTCCTTCTCTGTCCTGCTTATTTGCCAGCCTAAAGAAAAGATCAAAAGAAACACTTAGCACCCTGACATGAGAGATTCTCAGATCTCCAAAAGCTAAGTTTTTGACAAAAGTAGGAAGAAGAAGGGGAAGAAGGAGAAAGTAAAGAGAAAATGCCTTGTTTCAGCTTTAATTCTTAATTGTTCTTTCTACTTAATAAACATGTTAGTCCATGTACTATTTTCAGCAGATACTAACATTAAATAATTACTAAGGTGCTTAGTAATTATTTAATAATTATTAATAGACAAAGCAATTATATTTTACATCCATCTTCTTAGCTGTAAAAGACCGTACCATTCTACATCTAAAGTTACGCACTACAATCTGTTGGAGCCTATGGATCAAAGTTCAGAACTTTGCAACTTCGCAAACCATGTGCATTTCTCCACACAATACTGCTTCATGATCATCTCAGGTCTGCCTACTATCCAGAATTTCTCTCTGATGCCAAACAATTTGATATGTAATGTTTTGAACCTGGTCTTCGTAAGTAAAACTTAAAGCTTGGAGGGAGGAACCTGCAGGAATAGCTCTAAAAAACACACTTTATTATTACAGGGAAGCAAAAAAAAAAAAGGTGTATGAAACACATAGCTTACAAAATAAGTATTCTGTAAGATGAAGTGCCATCATTGTCTTATTTCTTAAAGATACGGCAGCAAAGAGGACTCCAGAAGATAAACATCTTAAGTTTTTTGGGGAGTGTTGTTCTTGATTAGATTTGTCTTCCATATACTCTGTAACTGTATCCAACACTGCATCCGATAATGTGTGTTTTTTAAAAGGCACAAAACACATCTGATTTACCACCCAAAGAACACTATTCATTATTTCACACTTTAATATGGGCGTACACCCTGAAGCAGAAGCTGTTCAACACTGTTATCAATAACTACTACAGAGATAAGAGGGCTGTCCAGAATTATAAACATCCCAAACGCTTAAGTTCTTCACCTCAGCAAACTCCTGGTGATACCATGTTCTAACCACGGAAATGAAAGTTACTTCTTTTTATCAGGACTAAATTTTTAATGTTTCACTGAAAACTCCTCTATATATGAAATGATACTGGAAAAGCTTCCGATCTAAAGCCCTAGAAGGTATGTCACAAACTACATGTAAGAAAAAGCAAGGGTAACTGCCAAAACCTGTACGGAACACAGAAAGGCAAAAACCTTTTCCCTTATGGGGATTTCTCTCAGCTATCCAAGTAATAATTTTCATGAAACTCACAGGACTTGGCTATCCTCGGGATCTCAATTTCTTGATTAAAATGGATTTAAATTGGTCAACATTCAAGAAGGTAAGATGGATTAACATGGTAAGTTTACCTAAGTATTTAGAATGTGTTAGCCAAGCAGATGTATTCCCTAAGAAGAAACTTAAAAAAGCAAACTTGCAGTCATCTTGGTCAATGATTTTTTGAGTTCACTTACAAGCAAATTTTAATAACAAATGGAGAAATTTAGACAGAAATCCAAGATACATATTTTAAACAGACAAAAATGACAAAAAGAAACACATAGGAAATCATTCATGTTTCTTGAGGGTCTGAAATTTTTATAAGGAATAAACAAAACTTCACAAAAGAGGTCAAGTCAAAAAAGAGTTGTTCCCATCTTCCATAAAAACTTGTCATGACAATAGGATATATAGTCTTTCCTCTCCCATTACCTGCTTTTAATTAAAAGCTAGTATGGTAAAACTCTAAGGACTATGAAAAGATGTTAAATAATATTTTTGAGCAATAGACTACTCCTGTTCAAAGTTACTATTTTTCAGCATGAAAACTGGTAGTGTTTGCTTTGAACCAGTGTAGACCATTTTGGAATATAAGTATACAATGCAATCCTATTTTGCACTTTCTACAACAGTAATAATCCAAGCTAAGTGCAAAAGCTGCAAAGAGGAGTACTGCATAGCATTAGGGTATCTGAAAATTGCACTTGCCTCTCTCTAATAAAGGAATTCCACTAAAATAATGTTGTTCTGAAATTTAGCAACCCTTCCATTATATGAGAACTCCGATTCAACTTTCCGGATAAAATCACAAATATTTGGCTTCAATGAACACAACTGCAGATGGTTTTGGAACCAGACATCATAGCCTTTCTTCTGAAATCTCAAATCATCATCATTAACTCAAATGGCTTTTAGGGAATGTTAGGCCAAAGCTTGTACTTTGGATTTATCATACTCCTTGCTGGGAAGGAACAATGGTAAGAATTCACTCCATAGTTAGCAGAACTTGTCAGCGCTTCAGTTTGATCTAAGACCTTATTCCTTCCTATTTTCCAGAATCGCAGTATGACCGCCTCAATTCTTAATTATTTTACTCCCAAGAGAGTTTTCAGCTTCAAAGAGACATTAAAAAAAAAAAAAGTTGTATTGCATCTACAACTCAAAAAAACATTCCTTGTCACCATTAACCTCATGCACTATGATTCATTATCTAACTTTTCTTTTCAAGAAGAGTTTATGAAGGAGACCATAAAAAGACAGCGTCTCAAATGTCCATTCTCTCTCAATCTTCATCAGTCTCAACTGTTTGTTTGTGGTCCAAAAGGTTCACTTATTTATCATCATCTTGGGGATAAAAACCCCTACATCCTATTGATAATCAAAACTTTGCTGACTTGCCTGCAGAGCTAGAAAGAGCATAAGGCTCTCCTCCCCGCCCCTCCTTCGATAATCCATTCCCACTTCTCAACAAAAAGAGTACTTCTATGGTACTTTCTATGATTTAGTGCAGAGATTCCCTGTTGTTCAATGCATATACAGAACCTATGATATTTTCAATATCCTGATGATACTCTGGCACTATTCCTTCTCACCAAACAGCTAGAACAAGTAATGTCCTCTCAGTATTTAGCTATGAAATAGGGCCAAAGCTAAACCAGGGGAAAACTGAGACAAAACTCAAGAAAGCTATGGAAAGTAATGAAAAGACTGGAAACAATTACCTCCACTTTTTTTTTTCCCCCCACATAATCTATCTTTGTTACAGTCTGAAAATCCTACTGCACTGCCCCTTAGTCTCAAAAAGCATTCCTCAGCAGTGCTGTCAATTCATCTAAATCTAATTGATGAAAATATTTCTGAACACGGAGTTTGTTGCCACAGCCTATTCCTTTCTCACCTGAAGATTAAATAGCTGCACTATTTACTATGTTATTGGACTGCACATTCTACAAAGCACATCTGAAGCAGAATGAAACGTTGGTAAGCTGCATAGCTCAGCGAGAGTGTGACACTAACATCCTATAACTTGCAGTAGCTGCTGATTTTTAACCTCTAATACCTTGAAAGGTGTAAAATTTGTCTTTTTGGTCAATTAGCTTCCATTTTCTCCACAGCACTCCTGTTGCAATATCGACTGTATTAAAAAGATACAGCTGAGGTGCTGTATCTGGAAAAGTATCCAAAATCGCTGTCTCCACCTTATGCTCCTGAAGAACTGAAGTGGTTTTGCACAGGTCATACATTTCCTGCTGTACACCCCTGCCCGCTTCAGCCTTTAGGTCAAACTTATAAATGGAGTCAAAATATTATTAAGGTACCGACTGTGATATAGGGTATTATTATGCTGGATTTTTCCCCCCCCCTTTCACGTAAATGCATGAATGACCTAGCCTTGCTTCCTTTTTCCTTTGTGCTTCGGTGTAGAAGAAAGCAATCCCTGCACTTACACTTGCTTCATAGGTAGGCAGTGCTCCACTTCCAGCTTACAAGGCCTCCATCTACTAGGGAGCTGCTCCTAGACACTTCCTGCTGCCGGGCAGCTCCAGCAGCGATCCGCCTCTCAGCAAGGCTGGGTTTCAAACAGGCAGAACCAGATTCCCCAAGCAGAAAGTAATCAATTTGCCTGTCTACTGCAGTTGCAGAAGTCAGCTTCTCTCTCACACCACCGTTCCTGAAGATGAACCCTTGGACAATTATTTAAGAACTAGAAGCAGAAGGCATGCAGAAAATACTTAATGGAATGCCACTCAAGACACATCACTTAGGCAAATATTCAAAACGATGTTTTTCAGATTATATTGAAGCTGACCCTCAGGAGTTCCTCTGTAAAGGCTAAAACAGAAAGCGACCAGCACGAGATTAAAAGGTAAAGACTTTTCTTTTCCTTAACGTTTATAAAGTTGCAAATATCAGAAAAAGGCTGTGTAGTGGGGTTTAGAATGGAAATGTGCCTAAGTGTCAAGACATACAAATAATGGATGTCTACCCTGCAAAGAATCGGATATTTCTCTGGGTGAATATAGTCTCAGAGCTCTGCTGCTCATGCACAGGAATGCTATGTTTTGAGGCAAGTTTTATGCCTAAAACTTCCTTCTTTAGGGAATATGTCAGAGTTATCTTAAAGGATAGACCTTGATTTTAATTTTCCAAGTCAGTAGAACTTCATATATAGCAGTTTTTCATGTTTAAAAAACTGTAGGATGTATACATCAAAACATACTTGAAAGCACAGGAGAGCGTCTGTTGGTTTGTCACATTAAGTTTGCTGAGTGAGAAGCTTTCATGTATAAAATCATGCTTGGCTTATTTCAATTTCACATAAAGTATATTTGGAACCTTCTTAGTGTAACAAACACTTTACGCAAGAAATAAAGAAAAGGTAGGCACCAACTGCTTTTATATCAAGTAGGATTTTTTTTAAGCAGCTAGAGAGCTTTTGAACTTTATTTTAAGAGTCATGGGAAACAATGTGGAAAGGGAGTGTATGTGTGCATTGGCACAACTGACATCTACAGTTCAGTAACAATATTTCTCCTAGAAGCCAGAAGACATGCCAGAGAAAAACAAAGTCTGAATGCAAACTATGTGTGTTCCTTGACCTGTTTCTAAAATGTAAATTACAAAGCAAAGAGGAGAAAGAAAAAAATAATCAGTATTAAAGTTTACTTTACAATCCAAAGGATTTGGTGAAAAAAAAACCCAGTATGAAAAGGACACATTTGTATCTCAGCTTTCATCAAAAATCCA